ATTCGTGGTATATTATAACATATTGCTCATTTGGCATTGTTGCTTATCACATCATATGTTGCTCCCGTAACGATTAAAAACCTCATACCACTTTTTCAGTCGGTAACAATGAGGCGGTTAGACGGGTAGATAGCACAGAAGCCATGCTGGCTGTGCGATTTTTAATTTCCTTGGTTCGTTTGTTTCCAATCACATGATTTTTCACATTTTTCTGCATACGTTGATACATATTATAATAACAAAATCTTCTTACTTGACTAGGCGACCTTGGCCTGTAACTGCTGCGTCGCAAATTTTCACGGTCATGGCACAATTATTATTTCAGTTGAACATATTGTACTGTGTTAGCACATTTTCCATTGTTTGGTCTTGACTTTTTGCTGATGTTGTAGTTGACTGTTGAACTGCTGAGACTTCATTATTTTTGCATTCTCTAATATTTTATTAGCGATTTGAATCTTTTGAAGTTTCAAGACTGATTCCAGCTGCACAGACGAGGTTGGTCCTTCCAGAATTCGGGAATACGGACGTGACAGGGGTCTGGCGGCGACTTCTTGTGGTGTTGTGTTGCACGACTTGCACGGAGTTGACATGATGACGATAATTGATGTTGAAGTGACGTCACGGATTTGCTCTGCTCAATCGGGGTAGCCATTTTGATTCCATGTCAGATGAAAGCTGGCGGAGGCTGATGCCGAAGATGGTGGTGATGGAGGCTACGTCCCACATTACGTTGGTTTAGTACGTTTATCTTCGTCGTCGTTCGTCGGCTTCGTCTGCTTCTTCGACTTCGTTCACGTCGGGTTCTGGGTCCGGTTCGACGTCGGGGTCACCAATTTGTGTCATCTTCGTTTGGTTCGTCTTCATCGTCGGGGTCACCAATTTGTGCCAAATCCGTCAGGTTCATCTTCTTCGTCGGGATCATCTTCTTCGTCGGGGTCACCAATTTGTGCCATGTTGGGGGACCGTATGAATGAGACACGGTTGTAGTTAGTCTCTGATATTAATCTGTTTATTAATGTGAACTACGCGACTATTTATACGATATAGATCAAAGGTAAATGACGTCACAGCATCAGCACTATACGTGATAAATGTGCTGACACTGTGAACGTGATCAAGATAAGATATGAAGAGATTTAGTATTGTGCATACCGGCACAGAGACCCTCGCGCTTTTCAATAAAAAAAGATGATGAAATAAGTTCATAATCAAACTNTTACCTTTAAGCGTTCATTACCACACGTTGGAGAGGAAGGAAGCAATAAACGAATCACTGTCAGCGTCAACGGTCCTATATACTATAGAATGCAAATAATGGATCACGCGAAGCGATCGGTTAAGCCGTCCCGTTACAAAACCGTAATCTCAGCCAACGACAATAATGAAAGTTTTCAGTCAAAGTCCCTATCTACTCGTATGTGGCCGTGAGTCGTAGAAGCCTACAGCGCCATCTTGCGGCCCTCGATGGAGATCTCGACGGCGCGGCGCGAGCCGCTCTTCATGCGCTTCTGGTCGATGAACTTCTTCATCTGCTTCTCGTACCGCGTCATCTTCTTCTTGCTCGTCTGGAAACGAACGGCGAATATCAAAAATAAGCTCAAACTATGAGAACATTACAGAGCGATTTAATTTAGGAGAAAGCATGCATGTTTTAAGTTCGGTTATAAAAAGAAAAAAAAATTGACAGAAATTACAGTAGCTCTAAGTAATCGACTTAGAGCTAAGTGACGATATAGTGAAATTTAAATCGGAAAATGAGCTCAACAAACCTAATAAATAAAAAAAACAAAGAAGAGTACGGACTAAGAGTCTTTAAAAGAAATTAATAATAAAAAAAAAATCGGTAAGACGATAAAACTAATGAAGCAGCTGCAGCGAACTTAGTTTTCATTCTTTCCAAAATGGAGCAAGAATTATGCTTACGATAGTTTCTCTATCCTTTATAACTCGATAGGAGGCAATAAAATATAAAGCAGTGATGTGACAGGCGTACCCGCGACATGTCGACCTCGCTGGTGGACTTGGGGCGCACGACGTAGTCCTTGTTGCTGGGCAGCGGCACGCGCGCGCGCGCCACCCAGCCCGGCTCGCCCGGCCGCACCGACCTGCCGGAGACACGAAGCGTTCAATTCAAATTCAAATAGTTTATTCAGTACACACATAGATAGGCCCTTTGTAGGGCACTTATATACGTCTCAAATATAGCTTGCCCTACCACCGCTTCGGGACAACATAATTATGGGCTGGTGCTGAGAAGTGGCGAAAGAAACTCAGTCGCCGTTATTATTTCAACGTAAAGCCTCGATCACACGTACCGAGCAAACGGGCGAGACAGCGCTCTCGGCCGAGTGCTCGGTGTGTATGAACATTACGCCGAGTGCTCGGCGGAGCGCTCGAGTATGTGACTCGCTCACCCAAACTGTCTCGACCGAGTAAACATTTTACTGTCTCGCCCGTTTACTCGGTACGTGTGATCAAGGCTTTATTCTGCGTTGACGTCGTGACGTTCTACAGTGGCGCCATCCTAGTGAGTTTAAATGCGATAGTCCTCCTACCGCTTGAACGCTCACTAGTTTCATAGTTTGCGCCACTGCCTTAGCCGCTAGCAAGTGACCTCTTTACAGATCGAATCCAGACCCGGATCCGAATATGTGATAATAATATGTATGGCATGTGTAAAGTGCTAAACTATCAGGCAGAAAATAAATTAGTTTTAAGAGTTTTTTATGAGACCCCATTCCAATGACGTCAGTTGTGAGTGTGAGTACTACAAGTGCACCATTACCGGTCGGAGTCGGGATCCATGGTGCGCGCTCGCTTGGAGGGCGGCGGGTCGGAGCGGCGCCGCGCGCCCGCCATGGCCTGGTCGCGCGCCTGGCGCTCCTCGCGCGTCATCGCTGCAACACAATAACAATAAAAATAACAAAAAAAAATAAAACCGACTTCAAATGTGTGAACACAAAAAAAAACTAAATATTAAAAAAAAGTTCTACCCCCGGGGGGGTGAAATATTTTCTTCAAATTCGCATGAAACCACCCTTTTGATAATACCTATTCAACAAAAAAATAATCGTTCAAATTGGTTCATAATCGGCGGAGATATTGCGTATAAAAAAGTTCATCCCCAATTTTCCACCCTTGGGGGTGAAATATTTTCTTCATTTTCGCATGAAACCAACCTTTTGATAATACCTATTCAACAAAAAAATAATCCTTCAAATTGGTTCATAATCGGCGGAGATATTGCGTATAAAAAAGTTCATCCCCAATTTTCCACCCTTGGGGGTTGTTTTTTCTATTATTAAATTTAAATGGGACCACCCTTGAAGTATTACCTATACGCCGAAAAAAGATTTGTTCAAATCGGTTCATAATTGGCGGAGTTATCGCGTAACAAACATAGAAAAAAAAAACATACGGGTCGAATTGAGAACCTCCTCCTTTTTTGAAGTCGGTTGACTCAGCATTAATCGAGGCACGCGTGCCCCGACGCTGGTTTTCAGCGGGTGCCTCTCCAACCAACATTTTAAATTAAAAAAAAAAAGAAAACATTATACAAGACATTGACAAGAGGGCGCTACCGGCGCCACTATCTCACCGCACCAATTTTGCCATGTTGAGAAAATACACTCGATTCCGCATTATAATTATTACATTTAAGAGACAGAAAAAAAATAGGAATACAACACTGGAGTCGACTCATGACGCCAGCCCCTAGACAAAATGCACTTTTATAAATGAATCGAAAATCGAAGCTATCAAAAATACATCGCGCGTTACGGAACATACTTCGAGACTACATCACTTCACGAACCTGTGGACCACGCACTCGCAGAAATCCAATATAACAACGGGTTCAGGGTGCCGTTGGGCTTGCCTCGCTTCTGCAGTGCTTCGGAAATGTTTGCTCAGTCGCATACTAACGGCTTCTTTGCTGTCCCACGCAAGAAGACTGCCTCGTCGCTCAGTAGGATACGGGCGAGCCCCAACAGTATCCTGAAGACCGTGGCGGAGAGGCATGACTCTCCCGTTATCCGAAATTTCGTTCGGCTACTTCTTACCCAACGGGTTGGATAATTAGTGGTATATTTTATCTACACTAATATTATAAAGAGGAAAACTTTGTTTGTTTGTTTGATTTTAATGAATAGGCTCAAAAACTATAGGACCGTTTTTAAAAATTCTTTCACCATTCGAAAGCTACATTATCCACGAGTAACATAGGCTATATTTTATTTTGGAAAAAAATAGGGTTCAGTAAAATATTTGGCTTTTTCGGAGGTCACGCGGGCGAAGCCGCTGGCGGAAAGCTAGTAATAAATAAATTACTAACATAGTTGTATAAGGCACCCATTTACTAACCATGTGGTTTATTGTTATCTTTAAATAAATAAATTTTCAGCANACAACGGGTTCAGGGTACTGTTGGGCTTGCCTCGCTTCTGTAGTGCTTCGGAAATGTTTGCTCAGTCGCATACGGACGGCTTCTTTGCTGTCCTACGCAAGAAGACTGCCTCGTTGCTTAGTAAAATACGGGCGAGCCCCAACAGTATCCTGAAGACCGTTGTGGCAAGGTACGACTCTCCCGTTATCCGACATTTCGTTCGGCTACTTCTTACCGAATGGGTTGGATAATTAGTGGTATATTTTATCTACACTAATATTATAAAGAGGAAAACTTTGTTTGTTTGATTTTAATGAATAGGCTCAAAAACTACTGGACCGTTTTTAAAAATTCTTTCACCATTCGAAAGCTACATTATCCACGAGTAACATAGGCTATATTTAATTTTGGAAAAAAATAGGGTTCCGTAAAATATTTGGGTTTTCCGGAGTCCACGCGGGCGAAGCCGCTGGCGGAAAGCTAGTAATAAATAAATCACTAACATAGTTGTATAAGGCACCCATTTACTAACCATGTGGATCATTGTCATCTTTAAATGAATAAATTAAATTGAATAGAATCTGAAAGGTGCGCACCTTTGAAGTCCGTGGAGAGGTTGAAGATGGGCCGCGCCCACTCGGAGATGAGGCGGCCGGCGCGCTCGCGGTTGGCCTTGGTCTCCTTGGGGTGCTTGTACAGGTACATCACCGCCTTGCCGATGCCCGACTGCTTCAGCAGCGACTTGTCGATGGCGGGGAACTAAGGGGCACAAATTCTAATATTAATGGTTTTAAAACTAAAGCCTGGTCTGTGAGCATGTAGAATTTTGTCCATGACCCCGAGCTACCCATCTTTATCGCCCGCGCGTAATTATATTGCTGTCGCGACTGTGCGACGGGCGCCCGCAGTGAGTGTGTGAGCGCGACAGCAACATAATGAGGGCTATCGAGTTAGCGCCACTGTAGAGTAAGGTCCTGTCACTTGCATGTAGCGAAGACAGTGGCACCAACTGGTGAGTGCTGTGGTAGGAGGACTATCGCATTTGCACTCATCAAGATGGCGCCACTGTAGAGTAAGGGCCTGTCAATCGCCAGGGGTGCCAACTGTTAAGTATAAAAACGATAGCCCTCATTACGCGCGAGCGATAAGGATGGGTAGCTTGGGGTCATTGGACAAAATTCTACGTGCTCGCAGACCAGACTATAGTAGAGCGCCAAAATTTTCTGTATTTGGTCAGCGTACAAATATTTTATATTTACAAGATTAAATTAATTACAAATATTACGTCATTTATTACATGAAAATAATTAAGTCTGTCAGAAATAGAGAAAATAAAATAATGTCAAAACAAACAAGTGACGTCAGCATGTGGTCACGTGGTCACGTGGCCACGCGGCGGGCACAGCACACTAACGACACTCACGTCCATGAGCAGCTTGAGCACGGACTCGCGGATGAGCAGGCAGGGCAGCGCGCGGTTGGGCATGGGGCCAGCCAGTCGCACAGCCACGCGGCGGGCACAGCACACTAACGACACTCACGTCCATGAGCAGCTTGAGCACGGACTCGCGGATGAGCAGGCAGGGCAGCGCGCGGTTGGGCATGGGCGCCAGCCAGTCGCACAGCACGTTCAGCACGTTGTGCTCCAGGAACGCCAGCTGCAGGTCCTTCTTGATCAGCTGCGACATGGCCGACTTCAGCATCGACACCTGCGAATTCAAATTCAAAATTATTTATTGTGAAACATAGGTGTTTACAGATAAAAATATTACATTGTGATTGTGCACCACAGTTAATACAGATAAGTAGGGTATCTCTTCATACAAACGCACCAAACACGATCTAAATAGATACACGTTGGTAATGTAAAAAAAATATGATCAGCTCCTTGTCTATGTTACAGAAAATCGTTTAAAAACTTTATATTATGGACAAATGCTTACTCTACAGGGAAAATTATTTTGTATTTAAATTGAATAATGCAGTTTTCAGGGGAGGGGGGAGTTGCCAATACTCGCCACGCTTGGCAGGCGCAAACGCAGCGGGGGACGTCCACCCACAAGGTGGACCGACGACCTCATAAACCTGACGATGTGGAAGTCATCGGGGGAGGCCTATGTTCAGCAGTGGACGTCCTGTGGCTGAAATGATGATGATGATGAATGCAGTTTTGACGATTGAATAAATTATATCGAGAGCGACACCCCTACGTGTTTAGGCTATCATCGCTCGCTCGGGGCTCGAGTCGCGTGACCCGGGGCCGGCTCGGTCGAGTCACGTGACCCGTGGCCTGCGCTCGCCGGGTGTCGTGCCGCACGCACCTTGCGCACGGCGGGCTGGTTGCGCTTGTTGAGGTCGCGGTCGTCGTCGGCGGCGGCGCGCATCTGCTGCAGCAGGTGCGCGATGAGGTCGTCGTTGTCGTTGATGATGTCGATGTCGCGCCGCCGCCGCCGCCCGCGCCGCTCCTCCTTCTTGCGCGCCATCATGATCTCGAAGTCCGTCATGCCGCCCTGCATCTCCGCGCTGGAACACCGACGAACCGGTCAGTGACGACGTTCGGAGCTACGGTCTGGTCGCCGAGCACGTAGAATTTCGTCCGATGACCCCGAGCTACCCATCCTTATAGCTCGCGCGTGATTATATTGCTGTCGCGACAGTGCGACGGGCGCCCGCAGTGAGTGTGCGAGCGCGACTGCAACATAATTACGCGCGAGCGATAAGGATGGGTAGCTTGGGGTCATTGGTCAAAATTCTACGTGCTCAGAGACCGGGCTTTACACACGGCCACGTGTTATGGAACGTCAGTCACCTCGTTCCCCCGACTGGGCCCTCGTCGTCGGAAGAATCGTCTGCGGCGGTCGCGGGCGCGGCGGCGCCGGGCTCGCCCTCGGGCGCGCCCTCGCCCTCGCCGCCCGCGCGCTCCCCGCCCTCGTCGTCCGACTCCAGCCGCACCGCGCGCCGCTTCTTGCCTTGTGGGAGAAATCAACCGGTATAGCGAACCGAAAACCAAGGGAAACGGAATAACAAATTGTCCGACGGGTTACCTCGACGGGACGGCGAGCCGGAGCCGGAGCGCGAGCTCGAGCGCGACCGTGAGCGGGATCGCGAACGAGACCTGCGAAAGGTTAAAGAATCGAGGAAAAATTGAACCTGACCTGATAAATAGACGAGGGAAAAATGCAGTAATTAGTGAGTGATATTTACCTTGACCTAGATTTGGCAGACCCGGAACGGGATCTCGAGCGGGATCGGGATTTAGATCTCGAACGAGACCTGGAGCGGGACTTGGATCTCGAGCGGGACCTGGAGCGGGATCCGGATCGCGAGCGAGAACCCGACTTGGAACGTGAGCGGGAGCGCGAGCGAGACTTGGAGCGCGAGCGTGACTTGGAGCGCGAGCGAGACTTGGAGCGCGATCGAGATCGGGACTTTGAGCGAGATCGAGACCGGGACTTGGAGCGGGAACGAGACCGAGATCTCGATTTGGACTTAGAACGGGAGCGGGATCGCGATCGTGACTTGCGTGACCCCGATCTTGAGCGTCTCTTGGCGCTGTCGCGGCCGGCGCTCTTCGATCGGGAGCGCGAACGAGATTTTCGCGATCCCGATCGCGAACGTGAACGACTGGCGCGAGAACCCGCCGGCGACTTGGACCGTGACCGACTCCTTTCCCGCGAAGCGCTTCGGGAGCGGCCGCGTTTGGCTTCGCCGTCGCCGTCTACTTCCATGCGCTCCGGCGAGCGGGATCTGGAGCGGCTCTTGGAGCCCCTGGCGCCGGGCGATTTGCTTCTGGACTTGGACTTGCTGCGAGATCTGCTTCTCGATTTGGCCGGCGATTTGCTTCCAGATCGAGACTTCTCGGGAGAGCCGCTGCCCGATCGAGACTTAGACTTAGCCGGCGAGGCGCTGCCGGACCGCGATCGCGTCGGCGAGGGGCTCCCCGATCGAGATTTTCTCGGGGATCCACTGCGGGAGCGAGATTTCCTCGGAGATCCGCTGCGAGAGCGGGATTTCGCTCGTGAACCGCTGCGGGAGCGAGATCTTTTGGGGGATCCGCTTCGGGAGTGAGATTTGGCCGGCGAGCCGCTTCGTGATCTGGATTTCCTCGGAGATGCGCTCCCGGATCTGCTGCGGGAGCGGGAGCGCGCGGGCGAGCCGCTGCGGGACTTGGAGCGCGAGCCGCTGCGGGAGCGGCCCGAGCGCGGCGAGCGCGGGGACTGCGGGGAGCGCGGGGAGGCGGAGCGCGAGCGCGAGCCGCTGCGCGAGCGAGAGCGGGACTTGGACTTGGAAGACCGCCTCGACTGTGGGGACCCGTCGTGAGACATTTTTGAAGTGGATTCCGCCTGCAAAAATTATATTAATCCAAAATGTTATACTTAGCAGATAGACAGGTCCGACCGGAACATCTCATTATAAAAAAAGTATCATTGATGTTACTTCACAAAATATACTCACAGATTTGCTCCTTGAGCGAGATTTTCGACCATCTGTAACAATATTATTAATGTCTAAGTATATTTTCGCTATTCAGAGAAGATTTTATCATAATTGATATTGTCTTCTAAACCTAGAGTAGAAATATTAAGCAGTCAGAATTAACTGTGCAGTATGATAATACAGTTGGTTGGTTGGTACCATACCATTTTGCATTAAGTATGTTTGTGTTTGAAAGTAAAGGTAACAAAGAACATAACAAAATTCCAGCTGAGTCTAATTAAGCTTCCATAAAAAGTGTGCTCTTAAAATGCGCGATGCTTCCCGTCAAAGAGACTCTGGGTGACTACAGCTCCATGAGTGTGCCTACCCAACGATAGTAGGAGGCACTTGCGCTTTTCCACAAAAAAAAAAGGATGATGAAATATGCATGTTCTGTTACACCACTGTATCTATATCACAGTTCAGTTCAGCCACAGAATATTACCTGTTTTTGCCTGATATTTCAAACAGGTTGCACCAGACGATGTCACAGACTGATGAGACATGATATTAAGTTACAATTCAAATTGTGCAACACAAGTTTAAATACATATAATTATTTACTATGGTACTGTAATATACAAGTACACAGACACAACTACAATCTAAAGACCTTGTGTAATTAATTTGCAAATTACTTTCATGTACTTAAGTTTTAAAACATGTTATCTAATCTTCAAATGTAAACAACCCTAATGGACTTAGTGGTATTAAAATAAAACATGGTATTTTTTTTAACAAATGTCATTTTTTACCTAATGGCAACCAAACCTACTCTGTGGGTGGTTTATTTCTGCCAATGTTGAGATTTTCATTAATTACTTCTGGTACAATAGAACATGGGTGTTTTAATTCTATTGCTTATTTTTCATAGATCCCGTGGAGACAAGTATTCCCATAAGCAGGTTTCAAGACGCCATTGGGTCTAAAGCGGATTGTGCATGTCAACCCACTCAACATTAGATGCACGCTCAAATTCAAAGTGTTTCTATTTTTTCATACATTTATCACTTCACTGCACTTTAAACTTTCGTGGATTTTTGATAAAGCTCAGCGTCCACTGAATTTCGGTTTGTGGTGTATTAATAGACGAAACATCAGCCAAAATTACTATAGAATTAAATACAGTCAGCACTTCCATCTCAATAATATGAAATAAATTACTAGCATAACGGAAACTACACATAAATATGATAAAGATAAATTAATTTGTTCAAACGTATGTTAATGTAATCTGTAATAAACTTAGGTAAAAATATGTTTTTGCTCAAAAACCGATGTAAGGTGAGGTTATGTTTTTATGATAAACAAAACTTACCCGTGTCCACATCCATCTTGTGTGATTAGTACTTTATTTGACTTCCCTACAGCTTCTCAGCTGCAATTACGAGAACACGAAGTTATAACTAGATTTAAACAGTGTTCATTCCGCAATTTTGTAAAATCGACATTTTATTTGACAGTCACAAATCCAATGTTTTTTACAATGAAATTGACAAATTTATTTTGCCGACTGACTTACGAACTCGGAACGGAACCACTCGGATGGAACGTGCAAATGACATATATCGAATCGAGTATTGGGCGGATCGTTAAAATAGTAACGTCAAGGTGACAACTTGTCACTGACAAGCCAGTGATGTCAAGGTTGACGTTCTTCGTTACGCAGCGAACAATGTTATTTTTGTGAATTATTAAATTTTTACTGTATAACCAGAGCCAGTGCTTTGCAAATAGTTCTTACTTAAAGTATGGCTACGTGAAAAATATAATTTTTGTTACTTAAATACTTTGTGTTCACAATGGAGGAGACAAACAAACTTCCGCTGAAGCGTGTGGAACTTCCACTATCGAAGTTTAATGAAGTAGCTATTCCACACCATCTCGACTTATTGCGACAACACAAAACGAATATTATTAAGGTCAGTATGTCTTAGTTATGATCTGACCTGCTGTTTAGTCGGCAGTATCTCTTTGTTCGCTAACTTGGGATCCACAGACGTAATAGTTGAACTATTGCGTATATCTCTTGCAGATGACTAGGAGAGTCTATAAATAAACTGCTATTTAAAAAATTGGCAGTTTCATTCACCAAGGTTGCATAAAAAAATTAGAAAAATTTATAAAACATCCTTGTTGCTGAAACAATGTTTTGTTGTTGTAATTTCTCATTGCCTGTTTAATTTTATGTTCTACCGCCTAATATGTTAATGACAGTAGCTTATCACTACTTTTGCATTCAGTTATATGCCTTGGTGCCTAGGTAATTAATTAATACAACAAAATGTAATTTTCTAAAATACATCAAGACACCCAAATTGACCTTTGTATCACTTTCTAGACTGCAATGACCAACCTGTTATGTTATATGTAGTAAATAGTCCTTATCAATTTTTGTTTTGTTATTGTCAGTAGCCTTTAGAAAAATAAAACAAAGTTCACATTAGATAGTAAAAAAAAAAAAAAAAATCAGCTGTTTCATAGTGTAAATAGTTGCTAGTATAAAAATATGACACTTTTTTCATATTTTATCCACTTTTATGCTATATGTTCAAGAACACTATTTACTTATTTTAATTTTGTCCCAATACCCCAATTGATTATAAAAAATAATAAATGTTTATCTTGTCAGTTTGACTGATGCATGTGTCTGTGCATTAACATTATTGTTGTGTCTTCTATCCTTGCAAAGAACTGGTTCAGCAACTTCTAGTTTTTTTATATCTACACTAGAAGAAATAACATGGTCACAGGTCTTATTATTGATTTGGTTGGAATTTATTTCTGCCTGAATAAAATAATGGTATTGGTCTGGCCCATTAAAGGTAGAAGCACACTTATAAGCTTGGAAAGGGATCATGACCACTTGGACAGGGATCATGACCATAATCATATTAAGTTGTTCAGTAAAACCTAGTATTATATTATCTGTGGTAAAACTTACTACTGCAATGCATACTGTACTAGTACTACTATTTGACACCATTACCCAATAATTCGAAATTCGAAATTTTATACTACCCATAAATTAAGATTTTTGGTTGCATTGTAATTAAAAAAAGTAGTTTAATTAAGTTGACAATATAGTGACGTCACTTTGCTTGTATTGCCATACAAAATTTATGGGAGAGTCTCGTTATGACAGCTTTAAAAAACTACGCCTATTGTAATGTAATCGCCCCGCCTCGGAACTTCGGGACAAGCTCACGAACCGCGGTGCATGCGTAGTTAACTAGCTGACGGCTCGTCATACCCCCACTTACGGCTAGTTGCCCGTGAGCTTACGGCGCTGGCCGCTGCCGATTCGCATCCGATTACATACGTTAGGTTGACGCCTAGTTGATAGCAAGGCGGTGACGATCCCTTTCCGAGTTGATAAGTTAAAAAACGAATAAGGCATACACGGACCGCTTGAAGCAGTCAGGGTCGACAGCTTCAAGCTGCGACTGCACAGTGAACTGCAGAGTTTTATGGACGCATCTGATTCGGGCGGTCGACAGCACGGTGAATAATAATTTTCATCGTGCGGTCAACCAGTCGCCAGCCATACACTGACTGCTCGAGCTGTCGACAGCTCTCGCGCAGTTACCTCCGCCCACTTTCTTCATTCCACGGCGCGCGCGCTTGTGATTTGTTGAGCAGTTAATACCAACTGCTCGAGTAGTTATCACTGGCAGCTTCAAGCTGTTGACTCTTGACTGCAAGAGCGGTCCGTGTATGTTGATCACTGACTAACTGCACTGACTAATTGCCGGCCTAAGTGTTTTTTATAACATTTATTTGGTTTTTCGCCTAAAGAGTCTGAAGTATATTATTATCGTATATTATATTTCCNTTTATAAATTATCCTTGTTGCTGAAACAATGTTTTGTTGTTGTAATTTCTCATAGCCTGTTTAATTTAATGTTCTACCGCCTAATATGTTAATGACAGTAGCTTATCACTACTTTTGCATTCAGTTATATGCCTTGGTGCCTAGGTAATTAATTAATACAACAAAATGTAATTTTCTAAAATACATCAAGATGTAGGTACACCCAAATTGACCTTTGTATCACTTTCTAGACTGCAATGACCAACCTGTTATGTTATATGTAGTAAATACTAGTCCTTATCAATTTTTGTTTTGTTTTTGTCAGTAGCCTTTAGAAAAATATAACAAAGTTCAGATTAGATAGTAAAAAAAAAAAAAACAAAAACAGCTGTTTCATACTATAAATAGTTGCTTGTATAAAAATATGACTTTTTTTCATATTTTACCCACTTTTACGATAAAATTAATAAGATTAATTAATTTACTTATTTTTATTTTGTCCCAATACTCCCAATTGGTTTTAAAAAAATAATAAATGTTAATTATTATTTTATTTGTCAGTTTGACTGATGCATTTGTCTGTGCATAAACATTATTGTTGTGTCTTCTATCCTTGCAAAGAACTGGTTCAGCAACTTCCATTTTTTTTAATATTTACACTAGAAGAAATAACATGGTGGTCGTAATTGATTTGGTTGGAATTTATTTCTGCCTGAATAAAATAATGGTATTGGCCACTGGCCCATTTAAAGGTCGAAGCACACTTATCAGCTTGGAAAGGGATGATGACCACTTGGAAAGGGATCATGACCATAATCATAATATTAAGTTGTTCAGTAAAACTTACTACTGCAATGCATACTGTACTAGTACTACTATTTGACACCATTCCCCAATAATTCTAAATTCGAAACTTTTTAATTTTAAATTACCTGTAAATTAAATATTTTTGGTTGCATTGTAATTCAAAAAAGTAGTTTAAGGCGGTTATCACACTGCGCCGCGCTCCGCCGCAGAGCGCGTGATTTCATATAAAAAAACACGCGCGCGGACGCGTTGTCAGTGTGAAGTGCCGCGCGTGTTTTCTACACAAACTGAGGTACTTGCATACAATGATTAAATCTGTCGTCCCGCGCTCCGCGGCGGAGCGCGGCGCAGTGTGATAACCGCCTTATTGAGTTGACAATATGGTGACGTCACTTTGCTTGTATTGCCACACAAAATTTATGGGAGTCTCGTTATGACAGTTTTAAAAAACTACGTCCATTGTAATGTAATCGCCCCGCCTCGGGACTTCGGGACAAGCTCACGAACCGCGGTGCATGCGTGGTCAACTAGCTGACGCGTGACGGCTCGTCAATCTCTCCACTTACGGCTAGTTGCCTGCGAGCTTACGGCGCTGCCGATTCGCTTACATAGGTTACGTTAGGTTGACGCCTAGTTCCGGGAGGGGCTGTGGTAGAGAAGGCTTTGTCCGGAAACCCACAGTCTCCTCCCACTTATGGCGAGTGACGGAGCAGCGGGGTCTTTTTAGTGGGTATGCCTCGTCCTTCTGACGTGGTGAGCCCCACATAACCTACCCTGTCCCCGCAGGGTAGGTATGCGATTCAACACATTTTTTCCCCGAAAAAAAAAAAAAAAAAAAAGGTTGACGCCTAGTTGATAGCAAGGCGTAAGGCGGTGACGATCCCTTTCCGAGTTGATAAGTTGAAAAACGAATAAGTGTTTTTTTATAAAATTTATTTGGTTTTTCGCATAAAGAGTCTGTATATCATATTTTCGTGGATCGTTGTAGTACGAAGAGGCGGGCGAGTGGGCGCGCGTGCGAGCCGAGCAGACGAACGCACGGCGAGTGGCGGCGCAGCTGCGGACACTACTCGGCGAGCTGGAGGCGCTGCGGCGCCAGGTGCGCGCGCCCGACCTGCGCCGCTTCGACGCGCTCACGCAGCGCTCCAGGGACCTCACGCTCAAGGCGATCGTCGACTACTTAGGTAACGTGGCGGCCAGCTGCGGACACTACTCGGCGAGCTGGAGGCGCTGCGGCGCCAGGTGCGCGCGCCCGACCTGCGCCGCTTCGACGCGCTCACGCAGCGCTCCAGGGACCTCACGCTCAAGGCGATCGTCGACTACTTAGGTAACGTGGCGGCCAGCTGCGGACACTACTCGGCGAGCTGGAGGCGCTGCGGCGCCAGGTGCGCGCGCCCGACCTGCGCCGCTTCGACGCGCTCACGCAGCGCTCCAGGGACCTCACGCTCAAGGCGATCGTCGACTACTTAGGTAACGTGGCGGCCAGCTGCGGACACTACTCGGCGAGCTGGAGGCGCTGCGGCGCCAGGTGCGCGCGCCCGACCTGCGCCGCTTCGACGCGCTCACGCAGCGCTCCAGGGACCTCACGCTCAAGGCGATCGTCGACTACTTAGGTAACGTGGCGGCCAGCTGCGGACACTACTCGGCGAGCTGGAGGCGCTGCGGCGCCAGGTGCGCGCGCCCGACCTGCGCCGCTTCGACGCGCTCACGCAGCGCTCCAGGGACCTCACGCTCAAGGCGATCGTCGACTACTTAGGTAACGTGGCGGCCAGCTGCGGACACTACTCGGCGAGCTGGAGGCGCTGCGGCGCCAGGTGCGCGCGCCCGACCTGCGCCGCTTCGACGCGCTCACGCAGCGCTCCAGGGACCTCACGCTCAAGGCGATCGTCGACTACTTAGGTAACGTGGCGGCCAGCTGCGGACACTACTCGGCGAGCTGGAGGCGCTGCGGCGCCGTTATAAGCAGATATTATCCCAACTATCCCAACTAATATTATAAATGCGAAAGTAACTCTGTCTGTCTGTCTGTCTGTTACGCTTTCCCGCTTAAACCTCGCAACCGATTTTGATGAAATTTGGCATAGAGATAGTTTGAGTCCCGGGAAAGAACATAGGATAGTTTTTATCCCGGTTTTTGAAACAGGGACGCGCGCGATAAAGTTTTTCTGTGACAGACAAAATTCCACGCGGGCGAAGCCGCGGGCGGAAAGCTAGTTTTAAGATAAAACTTATTGACACAATTTATGAAGTTACTGGAGCCTTTATTTGTGCCTTTTTTGATTGAATTATTCATCACATACTCGTAGTATCTGAGCCCGTCATAACCCAATTTTTTTTTACTTAAAATTGCCAGTTTATAAAAAAGTTCTGATTTATTTTAGGAGTAATTGAAAGCAGTTGTAGATCGATTGTTTCTGAAAGCAGATCATCCTTGTGCAGTGGTAAGGCAATAGTAGCAAATGAACATGAATTTGTGTGAATTAAACCTTAACAAACATTAATTGTAAATATTTTCGAGATTTGAAAGCATGACCGTAAAACGTTTTTGTGGATTTAATCAACGCTCACCTATTTGCTTTGTCAAGGCAATGCTATTTATTGAAATACAGTATGCAGATTACAAGTTTCAATAATTTCACCCACTCGTCATTTAAGTTGATGTCTGAATACCATTTTTCACATAATTCATCTATTAATCTAGATTCCTAAACGCGAGCTTCAGTTAAACCGCATTACGACATTGCTAAGATTTTATCATTTTAATTCGTGCTGTTTTTCAACTTGAACTGACTGTTCAGTGTTCTCGTCTAATTTATCCATCTAACCTTTCAGAAGCCCTAAATTATTTGGGTACCGAGTACCGACACATGGTATACCTATTTATTGGTTTCATAGGACGTTGTGCATAATCTATACTGTGCAAACTGTTCAAGTGGCAAATTACCGACTTGAAAGATGTTGACAATCTGCACTCCGCCCGCAGAAACGTCTCCGCTGTCGATCAACCGGCGCTCGGAGGAGCCGGCGGTGGCGGGCAGCGCCGTCAGCACCGACTCGGTGGGCGTGGTCGCGCACGCGGCGCCGCTGCAGCTGCAACTGCAAGTCGAGGACCACGTGAGTACCTACCCAGGGGCATATACTGGCTATCAACTTTGGAAGAATCCTTAGTTCAGCAAGGGACTCGAAGTTACGGAGATAAAAGAAAAATCTGTTTGTGCAGGAGGCGATTCTGCGCGAGCGCGAGGCCGTGCTGCGCGGATGGAGCGCGCTGCAGCGGGAAGTGCGCGCGCTGCACGAGGCCTGGCAGCTGGTGCAGTGCGCCGCCAGCGCACAGCGGGACCAGGTCGCCCCGCCCACTACTGCCGCTGCTCACTGTATCGTGCACCGATTGATATTAACTGACTCGTTGCACATTACAGGTTACCAATACGGCCACGAATATAGAAACGGCAGCGGAAAACGTGCAAGCTGCACGAACGGATCTCGCTCTCGCTGAAAGGTATAATTTCTCCGCTGTCAAAGATTTTTATATTTGTAGATATCAATGGAACCGATGGCTCCGGAACCGTTGTTCGGTGTCCGTACGGAGCCGTTCCCTCGCTTCGAACAACAAGTAACGGCGTGGTCCGCAGGATCCGCGCGGGCGCGTACGGCGTGGGCGGCGCGGCGCTGGGCGCGCTGGCGGCGGGCCCGGCGGGGCTGGTGGTGGGCGCGAAGGCGGGCGCGGCGGCGGCGCTGGCCGGCTCGCTGCTGGGCTACGTGGCGGCGCGCGTGCTGGGCTCGCGGCGCCAGCGGCAGCTCGACATAGCGCCCGCGACCGCTCGCGACAAGGACGACTAGCAGCGGCGGCGGTGTGTCGTCGCCTGAGCGCGCCGACGGCACACCCGCCTCGCTTCGACCTTCGCAGGCGCACTCCTTAAGGGGTGGTTCCGCACCTGTCATGACGGCGTCAATGAATCGGTTGACGGTGACTGTAGTGAACGGACATGTGAGCTCATCCGCTTTCATTGGGCGTGCCGTTGACGCGTTTTAATTCCATAGACAATTATTATAATGCATAATTCCGCAATAGTGGTGGATCTGTATTAGTCAATAACCAGTAGATACGTATCGAATAATATCAATACTAATGCTAAAAAAGAATTTGCAAAAGCACACTTTATCAAAATTCAATGCTTTTTGCCCAAGCATGCTTTTAAGTTTGAGTAGAGTAAAGAGCTTCATTTTTGAGATCAATAAGACTTTCTTTTGGGTCGCAAAACAACATAGATATTGGCGGTACATTCGTGTTTCTGGCATGTCGTAGCGAGATGAACGACTATTACCCAATGTATTATGTATTTTTTAATAAGAATAACGGACAGTGATCAATAAACATACTGTTAAAGTTCCTGCTAACACATGCCCACACGCGTTTAGGTGGAATTCATTTATTGTTTAAGCTGGGTCTCCAGCGCGTGTTTTACCCTACACCTACACAATCAACAAAATCAATTTTGTTTAATGTTGATATTCAACAAATTGTATAGAAAATTTGTTGAATGCTGACATGTTTTTGTTGATTGTGTAGGTATAGAATAATAATAAATGTTCTACGTAATAGTGTAGGGCAAAACATTCGCTGGAGACCCGACTTTATTTATATTTACAAATATTTTTTTCTTTATTATTTAATATAAACATTGTCAAAGGAATATTTAAAGCAACTTTAAATGATTGTAAATATTTATAATATGCACAATGCTGTGATATATTTATTTACACCTGTGTAAGCAATATAAGCTCACACATTTTGTAAACTTGTATAATATAGGTAGTTGTGTAATATAATGTGTATAGTGAATAAATTCATATGAAATAAACCAGTACTCATTTTGATTCCATTTCCTAAAATCCATTTGCTTGTTGAAATCCACTGTGGGTACCTAAGTAACATTGGAGGCTTTGAAGAACTTAACGATACGTCATAATTCGCTAGAAATGAGGATCACAAACTTGGAACAAAGTTTCATAAATCCGGCCAAGTGCGAATCGGATAAAAAAACGTTTGTTGTGTGGTTAAAGGCCACTAATATTTATTTTCATGTTTTGCTGCAATAGAAATTTAACTGTCTGGTGGCGGCAGACTGTGGAATCATAGCAATAGGTTCCCATTTAATACCCTATTGAGTTCCGTAAGTAGGTACCATACAAAACAGTCCACGAGCCGCTCGCTAAATACCGCTGCGGTAACTGAATGTTTCTTTTTTATTTCAATTTTGACAAAGTAACGATTACTCTCTCTCATTTCTGTGGTTACAGCGCTTAGGTGTGTCTTTTTTTACCTATTCTATAGAAGACGTGGTGGCTGGTGGTGGCCGTGGAAAGGTTAAATAGGTGTGTAACCCAGGGTGACATAGGTGGGTCATTTAAGGTTAAATAAAAAATAAGATCTCTGTACTAAAAATGAAATTATTTTAATGAAGTTGAAATCATAGCAAGTGATATATTATTTTTTATACTCAATTTAGAAATGTTATATTGATTTTTTCAAAAGCTGTATATTTCTATTGATCTTTGACCACCTATCTAGAATAACAACTATGTAGAAAACAATATGGCCGCATCATTGAAAAAAATGATGGCTGCTGATGGGACGTGTAGTTGCAGCGCTTGATTAGTTTTATTTAAATTATTCATGTGTTATTTATTGTTTTTATAGTGAATATTTAAAAAAGTGCTTAGGTCTTATTAATATTTTATTTTCAAGCTTTGTGATAGTGTTGAAGTGTCATTAGTTGTATGCAGCGGATGAGTGCTTTGAGTTCAGAGAAGAAAACGAGTGTTTTGTGGTAGGATGTCGTACCCACCTCGGCCACCCCTGGTGCCGTACGGCATTGCCCCAGGAGTCGTCACAATGCCCATGGCTACTCACGTAAGTCTTCAAATTTTCATTATAACCTGTGTTAAAATTCACATCAAAATCTTCAAATCTAATTTTCTGTGATTAATGAAGTCCTCGTGGTTATTTTTCTGAGGAATTATTACATTTCTAGTAACTTGGTTGACATCAAGACCTTGGATACTTACAAGCTAGTGAAGAACCTAGGTACCTGTTATAGCAGCAATATCATGGGTAGCAGAATTTGCCATAGTTATATTTGAAGAAATAAATAAGTACTTATCATTTTTATTTTGTGTAAAATATGCAGCTTTATATTGCTAATGCAGGACACATTAGATAGTGGAACAAAACATAATTTATGTAATGGTGTAAGTTTTAGTGATGCTAATCTGTTCATGTTATTTTTTACTTCAACTTAAACTTTGTGTTTCATCCAAAGCATTGAAAAATTTACACAAAGTATGGATATTATGAACCTCGATAATGTTTAGAGTTGTGCATTAGAATAAAGTTGTGAAAATTGAACATTGGTAGTTGAAAAATACCATTTTTATTTATTTATTTAATTAAAATGCAAGTGAGCTTACAGATTTATATCCAAAGCGCTCACATTGCCAATTTAAAATTACATTTAATGTTAGTAAGTACTTATATCTATTTATGGTTAGTAGACAAATACAATCTTATTTTTTTTACAAAACACTAAGGAGTTGGCAAAGATGTCAACGTCTTGGACGGTTTGCGTACAAACATGTTTAAAAGACAGAGTGCCCTGGGAGTTTCTATGGTATGTGAGGCTGAAATATGCAATAGAGAAGGGTATAGCTAACTAACTAGCAAAGAAACTTAATTGTGTTATTATATCAAAACCAAACTTTAGTGTTAGTGGGCGGGGCATACCTATAGCTGTTTTTTTATTGATATTATTTCTTAAATGCTGACCATAAATTGGACCAAAAACTGATAAAAAGGCAAGTTGGTAAATAAATAAGTAATCCTCACCCTCCATGGATGGACAATCTTGAAGGAGGTTGTATGATTCACATGGAAATGGGCAGCGCAGAGCTATTCATTGTGAACATCCTTGGAGTAAGTCTTAGTCCGTGGATGTCCTTTGGCTGAAATAAAAATGACAATTAAGACCTTCACTTCTTCTTCTTCTTCCTCGGTCCCTCACTGATGAGGATCGTGACCACAGATAGTGTTCCTCCACAGACTGCGGTCATAAGCTGTGTGCACCGCACGATGCACCTTCACTTAGGCACTTAGTAGATAAGATTCATTTAAACTGTAAGACAGAAAAATTCTAAAAGTTTTCAAAACAAGACTCATTAGGGAATCAAACTGAACAAGTTTGATCTTATATTTAGACCTCTATTTGATTCAATTGTAAGTAGCCAGCTGGCTTGATTAAATTACCCACTTGCATTATCTCTGTTTAATACTATACCTACTAATTACTTACCAATATTATAAACCTGAAGAGTTTCTTATGTATGCTTGAATGTGTTAACCAGGGTGGATAAAAATCACGATTTTTTTATTTTAATCAAAAAAATCAGATTTTTTTAAAAAAATCACGATTTTTTTGATTAATTTGATTTTTTTTATTTTTATTAGGNTGCTTGAAGGTGTTAACACACTTAAATCTCAGGAACAGGGTTGAATGATTTAAATCACAATTTTTATTGCATGATTCTTTTAATACAATCACTGATTTAAATCAATTGAAAATGCTGGGAGTGCATATTGATCAACTGTAATGTTTGAGAACAATGTTAATTAGGTGTAGGTATGAAATGGCGTTTTGTATGGAGAATTTGAATATTTTTAATTTTTGCGAGCTATATCCTATAGTTTAATAATGTTGTCTCTAAAGAAAACATATCAAAATTGATATCTTTGGACAACTTCTCAGAAAGTAAAAATCCAACACAGATATTTTTTAATTACTAAAATGAATTTTACGATTGTGTTGGATAGCCCCCTGTATCGAGGAAGACTTATTTGAGGCTATACATATGTATAACATAAACTTATCTATAGTCAATAGAGGCGGAGCAGTAGAGCAAAATGTTGCGAAAACAGGAAATATTATTTCAAACTATTTTCATGTAGACGAAGATGGTTGAATTGAAGTGCCTAGGCAATGCTGCCTGAGTAACTTTAACGGGCATTTTGATGATGAANTCCAAACAGCCAGCTCTTACAATCATGGCATTTTTATCTTGAGGTCATTGCATATTCATTTCTCATATTATGAAAGAAAGTAAAGAGTCGTGGTGGTTGGTCCCGGGCAGGGAACATAACGTCGCGCGCGCCGGACGCCATGATCCGCGCGCTGCTGGGCGCGTGCGGGCCCGTGCTGAGCTGGAAGCGCGTGTCCACCTTCGGCTTCTGCGAGTTCGCCAGCCCCGAGGCGGCGCTGCGCTGCGTGCGCCTGCTGCACGAGCGCGCGCTGGCCGACAAGAAGCTGCTGGCGCGCACCGACGGCAAGATGCAGGCGCTCGTCGACACCTACAAGAGTGAGTGTGGCCTACAGGTGAAGGACTCGAGGCTTGAGTCCTTTGAGTTAGGACTAGACTCGATTTTTAAGACTCGACTCCAAAAATACGACTCAAGACTCTTTACTAAGCTGAGGGAACTCCAGTCATTATAATAAGACAACTTAGTCGCAAGTCTTAAAGAACTCGAGTCGTTTAGCATACCTGTAACGCCCCTGGGTCTGCGGGTGTCTATGGGCGACGGTAATCACTTACCATCAGGTGATCCGTCTGATCGTTTGCCTCCTGTCACATAAAAAAAAATACGACGAGCTGTTTAAAATTAAAATAATAAAACTTGTGTTTTATTTATTTATTTTATATATTTTACAAAATACCCCCAATTAAATGGTTCTATTCTACTTTACATTATACGAAAATATATGGCACCACATAACTTTGGCTGTAGCAGTCTAAAACTGAACTGAAATATTAGAGACTCACGACTCCAACGAGTCGAGTCGTTTTAAAATGTAAGAGCCTTTAAAAACTTCGAGTCTTTTTAAATTGACTAAGTCTAAAAATAAAACTCATAGTCGAAGACTCCTAAAAGGCTCAAGACTTAGGCCCAGAACACACTGTGAAACGCAATTGCAACGAAACTGTAACTTCTAGTCACTTTTGAGTTGCATCTAAGTATATGCTATAGATTCCGTTAAGAGACCACACATGACGCGACCATTTCAAACCGTTTTCAAACTGGTGGCTGGTGTTCTGGGCCTTAAAGACTCGATTGGGTTGTGAAGTCTCATAAGTCGTCAAAATGAGTCGAGTTTGTTTTAAAAGACTGAGTTCTTTCATCACTAGTGGTGTGTAGCATGCGGTCGGCCCGCCTGCCAGCCACACTAAGGCCTGCTATACACGGACAGCTTGAAGCTGTTAGTGTCGGCAGCTTCAAGCTGCGCCTGCATAGCAACTNATGCAGGCGCTCGTCGACACCTACAAGAGTGAGTGTGGCCTACAGGTGAAGGACTCGAGGCTTGAGTCCTCAGCCCCGAGGCGGCGCTGCGCTGCGTGACACCTACAAGAGTGAGTGTGGCGTGCAGATCAAAGGACTCGAAGCTTTTGAGTCCTTTAAGTTAGGACTAGACTCGACTCCGAAAATACGACTCAAGACTCACTTGTAAATTCTTTTAATGTCTGCTATGGCATATGGTCTATTTGCATCTTAACTTCCATTTGCGATTACCTATAAATGGCTAAGCAGATACATAATTTAAGGTCCCATTATTTGTATTGTATTGCTGTTGGTTATCCGAAAAAAAAAAAAAAAAAGACTACTAAGCTAAGGGAACTCCAGTCATTATAATGAGACTCGGAAATAAAACGACTCGAGTTCTTTATTAAAAGACTTGCGACCAAGTTGTGTCGTTTAGCATACCATGAGCTGTTTAAAATTAAAATAATAAAACTTGTGTTTTTGTTCTCGTCTTTTCGTCACGACTGAGTCGTTTAAAAATTTCGAGTCTTTTTAAATTGACTAAATCTAAAAATAAAACTCAAGTCATAGTCGAAGACTCCTAAAAGGCTCAAGACTTAGGCCCAGAACACACCGTGAAACGCAATTGCAACGAAACTGCAACTTCTAGTTACTTTTGAGTTGCATCTAAGTTTCTGCCATATATTCCGTTGAGAGACCACACATGACGCGACCATTTCAAACCGTTTTCAAACTGGTGGCTGATGTTCTGGGCCTTAAAGACTCGATTGAGTTGTGAAGTCTCATAAGTCGTCGAAATGAGTCGAGCTTCTTTTAAAAGACTCGAGTTCTTTCATCACGAGTGTGGTGTGTAGCATGCGGTCGGCCCGCCTGCCAGCCACACTAAGGCCTGCTATACACGGACAGCTTGAAGCTGTTAGTGTCGGCAGCTTCAAGCTGCGCCTGCATAGCAACTATAGACTACGGAAACAGTTGTAACTGCTCGAGCGGTTCCGTATATGTGTGTACGTAGTGTACCTACTTTAGTTTGCTATGCAGTCGCAGCTTGAAGCTGTCGGATACTAGCTGCTTCAAGCTGTCCATGTATGGCGGGCCTTTCTTCATTCCACGGCGGGCGCGCTTGTGATTTGTTGAGCAGTTAATACCAACTGCTCGAGCAATTATCGCTGGCAGCTTCAAGCTGTTGACTCTTGGCTGCTCGAGCTGTCCGTGTATTGCCGGCCTAACCTGGCTCCTCTTGCAGCCGAGCAGCGGTCGCGGCTGGGCGCGGAGGAGGGCGCGCCGGGCACGGAGGGCGAGGCGCCGTACCTGGACGCGCGCCAGCGGGCGCTGGACGCCGCCGCCGAGCGCAAGCTGGCGCAGATCATGCTGGACTACCAGCACGACATCAACAACTACGAGCTGCTGCAGAAGGGTACGAGCACGTGACCCCGAGCTACCCGTCCTTGTCGCTCGCTCACGCGCAATGAGGGCTATCGTCTTTATACTTAACAGTTGGCACCCATGGGGATTGACAGGACCTTACTCTACAGTGGCGCCATCTTGATGAGCGCAAATGCGATAGTCTTCCTACCACTTTCGCGCTCACCAGTCGGCGCCACTGTCTTCGCTACTAGCAAGTGACAGGTCCTTACTCTACAGTGGCGCCAACTGGTGAGCGCTAAAACGATAGCCCTCATTATGTTGCCGTCGCGCTCGCACACTCACTGCGGGCGCCCGTCGCACAGTCGCGACAGCAACATAATTACGCGCGAGCGATAAGGACGGGTAGCTTGGGATCATTGGACAAAATTCTACGTGCTCGGAGACCGGGCTTCAGCGGTGGAGGCGGTATCTAATCTCTCGTCCCCCCGCAGAGGAGGCCATCTCGAAGACGGCGCGCGTGCTGGAGGAGGCGGACATCTCGGAGGAGAAGCGTGACGTCATCCACCGCGAGATCGGCAAGTTCCGCGAGAGCATGAAGGTAACGCCGCGTCCGGCTCCCCTCACCCCACCCCCCCGTCCCGTTAATGCGCAGCCGGCCGGGCACACGGACACGTCCACGGCGCACGCCGCCAGCGCGGCAGTCAAGATCTTGCGGGTAGATTCTGAATGATCAGTTTAAAACTTGTTGTTGTGTAATACTTTGATTATGCAGGCTCGCTCCGGATGACGGTCTCACCCGGGGTGCAGATTTGATCGATGATGAACAGGGCTTGCCTGAAATGTTTATGGAACGCCTTTGGGTTGTGTGAATTTGTAAACATACAGTCGACAACTCTTTGGCGAAAAGTTTCTATTGCCTAATTTTGCTAATAGTATATCTTTTTTTCAAATAGGAGGGTAAAAGAGGTCAGTAACTTTTCTGTTTATGACGTTTGAATCTTCTGAATCTTCTGAAACTAAAACTTAATGTTAAATAAAAATATTTTTTATCGATATTTTAGATAGAAAAAATATTGTGATCGTAAATTCCTTTATGTATTGAAACGGTAGGTAGCAAGATCTATTTGGCAAAAGTGCATAAAGCCCATTACTCGCTAAAGCACACATCAGCAGAGAGGATTCTAACGCGTTCAGTGTCTACAGAATCTATTTTTTTCATGAGAAATTTTTTGCAATGCCTTTAATGGTAAATATTAGTTAGNCTTTAATGGTAAATGACAGTTTTAATAACGAATATCGAGTTGTAAATTCGCGGCAACCTTTCGTCGATGATTTATAAGTCATCGACGTCGCGCCCCCTGCGATGTATGTCTTAGCGTTGTGGGCGCGGCGCGGCGTGCGTTGTGTCGCGGCGGGCTGCGCTGATCTGTTGCGGTGGTAGGTGCCGCGCGGGCGACGGCGCGGCGCGAGAGGCCACGGTGAGTCTGTGCTGTGTCATGTCTCATACCACACACNTTATAGGTACAAGCAAGTTTTTATTCTGAAATGCAGTTGTACTAAAACGAAGAAAATAATGCAAAGTTCAAATAATTTCGTAAGCTTGTAGCGCAAACCGAAAAAAAGAGGAATAAATTCCATGCGCGATAATAAAATAAAACGCTTTTCTTCAAATACTTACATCTTTTTGAAAAAAAACTACGTTTTACTTAAATTAAAATGATGGTTTAAAAAAATTACACAATATTCGAAAAATCCGGATAATCCGGATTTGTACGTAACACAAATCCGGAAAACCGGATTTAAGAAAAATCCGGATTTTGCAATCTCTAGTAGCATTACTCTTATTTCATTATTTAATTTTATCTTTAGCTTTCGATTTCTTACATTTCTCATATCTTTTTTCCTTTTCTTAAATTATATTAGATACATCAACAAATTATATGAACATTTACATGTTTTCTAAACCAGATACATTTATGGCGTGTTTATTAACGCTCATAAATATTTCAAGAGCATATAACGCGCCTCACATACAGCTAAATTTGTTTTACTTGCTGATGTTTTTCTAAAGATGATAACTCAAACACACACTTACACAACACACTTCTTCAGGCGTGATTGACGACTTCCTCCTGATTTTGTAAGATATAATAATATTAAGATAATATTCGGTGTGAATAATATTATGATAATTATATATTTTTTTCCAAATTACAAACTAATTACGTACGTGTTGTGTAGCTTTTGAAAAATTACCAGCGAGGCCCTGCGGGGAAGTCGTCGGTCGCAGCTTGTTTCGTTGCAGTTATTTTCTAATCGATTTCTCATCATCACTTCATTTTATAATTATCTCGATAAACCATTGCATTCGGTCATGGCTTGAAGGACCGCTCATCACCTGCGATCCGATAATCGATTAGCCTAGTTTCGTACCGTCCGACGGCACCTTTTAGGAATCGGGTGATCCTTTACACATTCCTGTCTATGTATTACATTACTATCGGCTCACCTCCGACCGAGAGCGTTTCACGACTCGCTTACTGATAGGTTACCTAGCTTTACCAACAGATGACAGTTCGGCCACACATCTCTTTGATTTTACGTCAATTTATCAGTAAGATGTTTGTAGAAACATGCGACCTATATGAACGTATCTTATACCCGATTTACTGATTTATTAATGTTATTTTTGACCATTATGAAAGTTACATACTTATTGCCTAATTCGTAAATGCGGGTATTAGGATATTTATAGTTGTCGCTGTACTTTAAATATTGTAAAAAAGGAGCGTTCTCGATCGAGGTGGCCCCGGGTTGCGAGTCCGCATTCGTGAGTTGCGGACGAGCGACCGCGACCGGCGCCGCGCGCTCCAGCTCACGCGAGGTTTCAATCCGAGGTTGCTACCATCAGTTTTTCTTCCTGAAAATAGTAATGCGGTTACGGTAAAGCAAACCGGTAGCAACCCTCATTAAGTTATCCCTGCGGTTCGCTCGGAACTGTATTAACAATGGCTCGGAGCGCGCTCGCCGGCCGCCGACGCTGGAGCCGCCGCCGGAGCCGCCGCCGCCGCCGGCTGTAAGTAGCCGCCCCGCCGCCGCCGCCGCATCGCAGCTACCGTATGAAACGTGCATTCGATACCGGCGCGCCCGCCCGCTCTCGCTAGACACCTAATGTTCTAGATAAGTTTCCAACATTCATATTTAAAGATATTGCAGTAAGCGGTTTGTCAATAGGATTCATTTTTGGGTATTGAAACACACATTTAAATAATGATTACACATGAGGTAAATCAAAAGTTGAAAGGGGATTAGAAATGTCTACAACTCATACACATAAGGTTGAATCAAAATTTAAGGGGGACTAGAAGTGTCTGCAACTCATCACACCAGTCGATGTTCCTGCTACTGTGATTACGGACGAGCACCAGTGGCGTGCCTCAAGCGAGCTAATCAATTAACACCTAGCAGAAGGAGAATTGAATCTCCTATTCATCAACTTTTTGGATAAATAGGTTATCACATGAACCAGTTTCAAGCGAGCGCGGGTGGGGCGTCTTTATTATACTATGAATTTGTTTGTGTCACTCCGCCTTTAGTGTAGCGAGAGGGCTCGCGCGCGCCCGGCTCCAAAGTGCGATTTACCCCCTCGAATTTTATTTGAGACAGATTATTATAATTTGAAATGTACCTTTGTAATGTCTTGTAGATGATTATGTACGGGCATATTTAAAATTTTGTCACAAGTACTAAATGCAGGTCATCCATCAACGAATCGATTGAATCTGCTAAAAACTAAACGATGACGATTTTTATTACTAATAGTAAAATGAAAATAAAAATCTAAGTTATCCATTTATTATAACATGGCAACATGCTGTGTTGCAAAACAAATGAGGTAACTCAAATTAAAAACAAACCTCATTAATAGTAACACTCAACTTTCGAAACATGCAATTTTAAATGAAACTTCTTTTTTTATTTTATTTTATACAGCTAGCTTTTTATTTTCGAAAGTTTCTGTAAGGTTTACAAAATAATCAATTGGTCATTTATTTCTGAAACTCAAATAATTACTCATATACGCTTGCGATTGAGCTGATTTAGAAACGCGTTGTCAAAGCTAAAAAGTGCAGAATATTGGCCTTTTATTGTACTCACTTAATACTGGGAAAATATTTACTATAATTACTTTTCGTTTTTGTTTCTTTATTTTAATATTTTTGCTCGAGGTCTTTCCCCGCTTTAATTTATATGGTTTTAAACCAAAGGATTTATTTTGCAATAAATATACTACAGCTTTGCAATGTTTGCCTACATTCAATGAAAAAACGCGCCGTCTTTTAACTCAATTGAGACGTATAAGAAGCGATCAGGCCACGCGTTTCTATCAGCCGGTTAGGTTCGCACCTGGGCCGGGCGGCGCCCGAGGCGGCCCGCGCTGAAGGCCGGCTCGTCGGCAGGAGGAGGCCGACGTCGTGGTGCGCCGCAAGCGGGAGCCGCGCGCCGCCGAGCGCGAGCGCGACCGGGACCGCGACCGCGACCGCGACCGCAGCGAGCGCGCCGACCGCAACGAGCGCGCCGACCGCAGCGAGCGCGCCGACCGCAGTGAGCGCGCCGACCGACCAGAGCGACCAGACCGAGGAGACCGCGGCGAGCGCGGCGAGCGTGGCGACCGCGGGGATCGCGATCGGGAGCGGGAGCGGGAGCGCGAGCGTGAGCGCGACAAGGACAAAGATAAAGACAAAGAGCGTCAGCCCTCGCGGGAGAGGGACCGAGAGCGCGAGCGCGACAGAGACAAGGACAGGAGGAGGCGCAGTGTTTCCAGGTAAGAGAATATTCATTCATTCATCATCATCATAATTTTTTCAGCCATAGGACGTCCGCTGCTGAACATAGGCCTCCCCCAATGCTTTCTATGTTGACTGTAGCGGCCTGCATCTGGCGCTTCCCTGCTACTTTTACCATGTCATCGGTCCACCTTGTGGGTTTTCCGGGACGCGGCCTCCTTTCCAGAACCTTGCTGCCCCATCGGCCGTCAGTTCTGCGTACTATGTGCCCTGCCCATTGATTGTCACTTCAGCTTGTTAATCCGCTACATTTGCAGTTGACGACTTTCTATATTGTATAACACATTTGTAAAGTAATTTGAACATGTTCAGAGGCAAGGAGCGACGCGACGAGCGGGAGCGAGACAAGGAACGCGAGCGCGAGCGGGAAGAGCGGGAGCGCGACCGCGAGCGGGAGAGGGAGCGGGAGCGCGAGCGCGAGAGGTACGCAGCGCTCTATGTCCATGTTACATTACACTCCTTTTGCACTGTACAGATTTATGTCACGTTATCTTGTGTTTTAGGGAGGCTCGCGAGCGGGAGAGGGAGCGTGAAATGCGCGAGAGAGAAAGAGAAAGGGAGAGGGAACGAGACCGTGAGAGGTAAGTCATGTCTTTACTAATTTTTATAGTATTTCGAGTATATTGTTTTAAACTTTCATGGTCACTAACATAATAATTATTATTGACGGGATTGCTACAATGTACCTTAATTTTGAGTTCCTGATATTTCGGCACTGTTGCAAGCGCCATAGTCACGAAGTAACTAAGTTCGAGTATTCAATCCAATGGCATTTATAATGAACAAATTGTGCACCTTCATAAATATAGTAAAATAAGACATCGTGTCGTATTTTGGGTTAGCTACCTCAGGTTCATAGCGGATTGATTGATTGTTTATTACTCTCGAAGTGTACACAAATAAGAAATCAGTTAACACGGCGCGGGGCAATAATGTTCTGCGATAAATCTGATAAGGTTTATGATTCACTAGCCCGGCGCGGGACTCGTTAGTTTACATGACTTTATATCCGCTACAAATTATTATGCAACATGCCAGCAAATAGTTGCTGCAAATGTACCTATCTGTGATACAGGTCAAACTGTATTCATCCATCAAAGTACCTGTTATGATTTTTTTGTCTTTTATAGGTCTTTTACATTTCGTTACTTTTTACTAAACAATAGAAACAATGTATCAAGTTAAATGTAGATGCCAATTGGATAATTTGAACATATTGCATAGCATTTTATGACCCGAAGGAAAAATTATCAAGATCCATCTGTTGTGTGTGTACTGTGTAGTAACCGAGTACAATTTCACACAGTCTTGCATAGTTCCTCAGTTTTATGGAGGCGTTTGATAACGTCGCCAGTGTTTGCATTTATTCATAGTTTATAATTCGCTACAAACACTATCAATTAAAAAATCCTCACAAATAAATTAATCTTTGTTTACCGAAGATTCATTTACACATTTTTATTTAGACATGTTGGAACCTATGTTTCCGATCTAGGTCAATCGAGCATCGTTATTTACTGCGAGCTTTGTTTCTTTACTATTAAAGTGTAATAGGGAAAGTGCAATGTTGAAATATACAAGTGCCGCTGTGTTTATAAACCTGAATGTGCACCCATACATCAGAACACGCTATGAGATCAAGCGGGACCTACGTTTGGCGATGAAAGGGTAATCCATAGCATAGTCCTACACATAAAATAAAAATACGATAGGGAGTGTTTTAATAATTTTACTTCATTAAGCTAAGCGTCCACTTGCCGGTATCGTACGCAACGGATCGTAGTATTATTTATATAGAAACTCATATAAGTGCGTCCACCTGTCCGCATCGTACGCATCGCACATCGACAATGCCGACACCTATGTAATGCTCCGAAAGGCAACTTTTGCGATGCCTGCCGATGACGTCATACGTAATGCCGATCAGTGGACGCAGTCCGGCGCTCGCTCTGTATCGTCGGCCAATTGTTCTTCATCGCTTTCCTCCATTCTCACAGAGTCCACACGTGCGTTCACTATGAAAATCCGAATGAACTGGCTTCGTCAATCCGTATGCTGGTACTCACCGTCGGTAATCCGTACGCTGCCGGTACAGTGGACGCACTGTGAAACATTTATCCGTTTTGTACGATGCGTCCGTTGCGTACGATACCGACAAGTGGACGCTTAGCTTTAAACAAACGATGTTACAATGCAATAAAATTTTTAAGATTGCAGCTTTTTCTTATGAATTAAGTTTATTCTTCAATCCGAACAGAGAGCGCGAGCGGGAGCGCGAACGTGATCGCGAGCGTGAGCGCGACCGCGAGCGCGACCGCGAGCGCTCCCGCGAGAGGGACCGCTCGGGCTCGCGCTCGCGCGGCCGCAGCCGCTCCGAGGCCGACTCGCGCCGCGAGAAGGAGATGGAGGAGGAGGCGCGCGAGAAGAAGCGCCTCGAGAAGAAGGCGCGCGAGAAGGAGGCCGCCTACCAGGAGAGGTAACATTTTTCTTATTCAAATTCTTTATTGCAATTCCACACGTTAAAAAGGTTCTAACTTAAGCGACAGTCTTTTTTGTTTTTGATAGGCTCCTGTATATTATGAGTGTGATTACGGCAGGGTAGGACCCCCATTGTTCTCGTAAATTTTGTGTGGGAAAAAATGCGAATATGAGGCCTCCACAATCCGCTTGATCATGGTCGGAAGAGTAGACTAAATCCTTCATTTGTTTCTGGTAATTTGGAGAGGGTTATCCCATTAAAAGGCAGTGAAATATTTATAAATATTTGTTCACAGGCTCCGCAACTGGGAGAGCCGCGAGCGGCGCAAGGCCAAGGAGTACGAGAAGGAGCGCGAGCGCGAGCGCTGCCGCGAGGAGGAGCGCGAGCGCGAGGCCAAGCGCCTCAAGGAGTTCCTCGAGGACTACGACGACGAGCGCGACGACCACAAGTACTACAAGTGAGTGCCGCGAGGAGGAGCGCGAGCGCGAGGCCAAGCGCCTCAAGGAGTTCCTCGAGGACTACGACGACGAGCGCGACGACCACAAGTACTACAAGTGAGTGCCGCGAGGAGGAGCGCGAGCGCGAGGCCAAGCGCCTCAAGGAGTTCCTCGAGGACTACGACGACGAGCGCGACGACCACAAGTACTACAAGTGAGTGCCGCGAGGAGGAGCGCGAGCGCGAGGCCAAGCGCCTCAAGGAGTTCCTCGAGGACTACGACGACGAGCGCGACGACCACAAGTACTACAAGTGAGTGCCGCGAGGAGGAGCGCGAGCGCGAGGCCAAGCGCCTCAAGGAGTTCCTCGAGGACTACGACGACGAGCGCGACGACCACAAGTACTACAAGTGAGTGCCGCGAGGAGGAGCGCGAGCGCGAGGCCAAGCGCCTCAAGGAGTTCCTCGAGGACTACGACGACGAGCGCGACGACCACAAGTACTACAAGTGAGTGCCGCGAGGAGGAGCGCGAGCGCGAGGCCAAGCGCCTCAAGGAGTTCCTCGAGGACTACGACGACGAGCGCGACGACCACAAGTACTACAAGTGAGTGCCGCGAGGAGGAGCGCGAGCGCGAGGCCAAGCGCCTCAAGGAGTTCCTCGAGGACTACGACGACGAGCGCGACGACCACAAGTACTACAAGTGAGTGCCGCGAGGAGGAGCGCGAGCGCGAGGCCAAGCGCCTCAAGGAGTTCCTCGAGGACTACGACGACGAGCGCGACGACCACAAGTACTACAAGTGAGTGCCAAAAATGGTTAAATGGTATGCTGAGTACACGCGGCGATGGTAACCGAACGCGAACTAACTTAAAGATATTAAAATAATGAAAAGGTTAAAATTGGGTCAGATTGGTAAATGCTGACCGCGCGCTTACGGGCGAGTTGAATGCACTGTACTTCGTACATATTCCCGAGGGAGAAAGAATAAGCAAATGAGGGTGCAAGGTGATACAAGATGATAAAACAATAAATTGGTGCAATTTACAAGGTGATAATAATAACATGGTAAACTTAAAAATTCAATTCTTATAGTCTCTATTCAACAACACTAAAATTAAAAGAATTTGGTAATTTCACTTTTTTCACTTTAGCATACACATGGTCACTTGCACTAGTACACTGGACATTCGCACTATCACACTGGTCACTTGCACTAGCACTGCGGTGCAGGGCAGCAGCGCGGGCGCGGGGCTGCGGCTGCGGCGGCGCCTGCTCAGCTGCCGGCCACTGGGCGCGCGCGCGGATCCTCCGCACGCCGTAGGCCACAGCAGTCACGAGGCCGGCACCCGTCAGGAGGTAGATGGCTATGTAGTGGTGCAAATCATGGTTGTCGAAGGATGTGTCGTCTAAGTCTTCCTTGGTATTATTCTTTATTTGTTCTATTTTCTTTCCAATAATCTCTAANATGATGAAAACGTTAAATTGGGCAGGGTACTCACCTGCCATGTAGCACGTAACGTAGCATGTAACGTATCCAACCTTCAAGTGAGTATGGCTCGTCCACGGTGATCGCGTATATAGCTGCGAGATTCTGGATCCCACTGCGAGCCGCCTTTGCGCTCGCAGTGATACCGCCAGTCGGCGAGTCGCTGCGATCTCCCTGCGAACCACGCGCGAGCAGCTCGCAGCGGGCTCGTGCCTATGTACTCACTTGATACAGTATCTGATACGTTACATGCTACACGGCTAAAGCCCGGTCCGTGAGCACGTAGAATTTTGTCCAATGACCCCTTTCTACCCATCCTTATCGCTCGCGCGTAATTATGTTGCTATCGCGCTCGCACACTCACTGCGGGTGCCAGTCGCACAGTCGCGACAGCAATATAATTACGCGCGAGCGATAAGGATGGGTAGCTAGGGGTCATTGGACAAAATTCTACGTGCTCACGGACCAGACTATAGATGAGTACCCTGCTTTGTAGTAAAGTTGGAGGGGGTGCGCTTGCAACTTGCAGGTGATGGTGGGAACATACGGCGCGGGCGGCGGCGTGGGCGGCGTGGTGGGCGGGCGCGGCGCGCTGCTGCCGGCGCCGGCGGGCAAGGCCGTCATCTCGCGCCCGCCCACCAGGAACACCAACGGCGCCAAGGACTCGGAAGGACCCCCCGTCACGGTCTTCATCGGTAAGTTTCATTTGCTTTACATAGATTTGTTTTAGTGATGATGTAAAGTTCTTCATTAATGTAAGGTGAAGAACTTGTCTTTATTGACCATCCCCCCTAGACAAGTTGCACTTTTTGATCGAATCGAAAATCGAATCTGTTAAAATTCCATACTGTTCCATACAAAAAAAGGCTTTTCGACCATTTTACGACTGGTTTTTGATTAAAATGTGCACTTTGTCATCCACACATCATAATATACCATTTTTAGAAAACGGAGTTTCTACTTTTGAACATTTATTGTCTGACTTGTATTCAGGGGGCGTAGTGTACTTTCAAGAACTAAAATCAAAAATCAAAATCAAAAATATTTATTCAGTTTAGACCACAAGTGGCACTTATGAACGTCAATAGAAAATAATAAAAAAAGAAAAAGGTAGCCCTTATGGGGCACTTTATAAATTATTAAAATCTTCATCAATATTTTTTCGCTAGTTTGATGTAAACTTACACTAAGCCCTCAGGTCACATAAGTTGAAGTTACAAGCTTACCACAAATTTCAAATAGAAACTAAATTGTATTTTAGCTTATTCCAAACAGCCAGCTCTTACAATCATGGCATTTTTATCTTGAGGTCATTGCATATTCATTTCTCATATTATGAAAGAAAGTAAAGAGTCGTGGTGGTTNGTAGGAAAGGTTTTTCTGTTCAGTTCAATTGGTCTGTTACCTTAATAATAAATCAGTCAAAACAGTTACACGACACGACAAAACTAGTTATAAATGCCCATTAAAAATCATAACCGCAACAGACGATGGCGTCTAGTCAAAAAATTGTTATTCAAAAATAAATTATTGAAGTCCCGAAAGTACCGAAAGTCTCGGGAATCGCATCGTCAGTACCGGAACCGGATAAAGGATTAGATTATCGGCAATTCCCGGGAGAAATGAGTACCGAGATTTCCCGGGGGCAAACCCTACCGAGGTCCTTCCGTGTCCGCAGGGGCAAGGAGCTGCAGCGGCGGCTCAGCGGGCGCGTGCGCGAGGCCGAGGCGGACCGGCGCGAGCGGCAGAAGGAGCACGACGAGCTCGACGCGCTGCGCCGCGAGCTGTTCCACGACCGCGACCACGACGACCCCGCCGCCACCGCCGCCTACGACCAGGTGCCACGCTGCGTCCCACGCCGTTCTGGGACTGGGTAGCCGATGCGAAAAATCGCTCAACGGTTGGAATGTGCAGGTGTCAAAATGTCCATACGGACCGGCTGTTAGTGTGGCAAAAAGTATGAACATCAAAAAGTCACCATGGTTACAATGATTTAGTGACAAATGGTACACATCAGAAAATACAAGTACAACAAAAGGTGTGATAGATAAAATGATCAACTGATATATTGTGCTCATGATTAAATTAGGGCTGATTTTTCAATCGTCAGTTATCTTTTATCTGAGGAATAAAATTGTCATTTTGACATATTTCCCATACTGAAACTGTCATGTGCCAAACTTATTCTTCAGTTAAAAGTTATCCGACGATTGAAAAATCAGCCCTTAATAAAATTAAATGTCAAAATGTTCAATGTTCTTGAAGTCCAGTCAATAAAGAGTTTTTTGGATATTTTTACCTTGATGCATTTAAACACGTGTTCACGTTAGCTATTATACAATAAGACGCTTGTTCGAATAAATCCGAAGACATTTTAACCATTGCTCATTTCGACGTTTATACTTTTTGCCACACTAACCGCCGGTCCGTATGGACATTTTGACACCTGCACATTCCAACCGTTGAGCGATTTTTCGCATCGACTACTCACTCCCAGAATGTCCCACGCGACACCATACTACACTACACACGCACCCNGTGCAAATACGATAGTCCTCCTACCACTTTCGCGCTCACCAGTTGGTGCCACTGTCTTCGCGACTAGCAAGTGACAGGACCTTACTCTACAGTGGCGCCATCTTGATGAGTGCAAATACGATAGTTCTCATTCCAAAAATAATTATAACTGTCTTATTTATTGAGCTTAGTTTCGATCTATATTTTAATCCCATTCAGTTAGAAAGAAGCCACACGGTGCGGCGCGGTCGAGGCGCGGCGCCGGAGCGGTTCCGTTGCGGCGTGCTGCATATAAAAATCTGCAATAATTATGCCAGACGGTGCAAACATTTTGCCGCATCACTGTACACATGTGGTATGCGGCGCCGCAACGGCACCGTCTCGCTCAATCGATGTGCGGGCTGTACCTGCGGTGCTTCGCCGCACTTTTTCTCCCTTTTCAGCATTACGAAATTTCTCCATTGTCTGTGTATGCATTTTGTCAATATAGCGCTGTGTGCGCTACGTAAACTGTTTGATTGGTATGTAATTATCAACCGACTTCAAAAAAAGAGGAGGTTCTCAATTCGACACGTATGGTTTTTTTTTCTATGTTTGTTACGCTATAACTCCGCCAATTATGAACCGATTTGAACAAATCTTTTTTCGGCGTATAGGTAATACCTCAAGGGTGGTCCCATTTAAATTTAATAATAGAAAAAACAACCCCCAAGGGTGGAAAATTGGGAATGAACTTTTTTATAAGCAATATCTCCGCCGATTATATTATAAATCAATTTGAACGATTATTTATTTGTTGAATAGGTATTATCAAAAGGGTGGTTTTATGCGAATCTGAAGAAAATATTTCACTCCCAAGGATAGAACTTTTTTTTAATTTTTAGTTTTTTTTGTGTTCACGCATTTGAAGTCGGTTTTTTTTAAAGTTAATTATGTGTATTTCAATCAACTGGGAAGCGTTGTCTTCCAATGTTGCGTCGCAATCAGCAGTGGAAGGACTGATGCCACGTTAACTGTAGCGGTCCCTTCCGCAGGCGCGGGAGCGCGCGGAGCGGGAGCGCGAGCGCTACCTGCGCGCGCAGGCCTCGCGCCAGCTGCCCACCGAAGCCGAGCCCATCGATTCCGACGACAGGTGAGTCTTATTCTAGTGTTTATAAGGTTCAAATTGCTATAAAAACGACATTTGTTTGTTACGTAAGACAATTTTTGCCTTATTCAAGTGTTTATATGCTTCAAATTGCTATAAAAACGACGTTTATTTGTTACGTAAGACCATTTTTGCCAGTTTTTAACATCTATAGGGGGAGGTTGATAAGACAAAAGAAGAATAGGCTGATCCTTCATAGTTTCTTAATTTTAGAATTGTTTGACTGCAATCTCATTAGTAAAAGAAATAAAAATATGTCATGTGTCAATGTAATATAAATAATTTGATTGCAAAATAATATTAAGTATTTTTATCATCAAGCCAGTCAGTGGTTTTATTCATTGGTCCTTCGAGCCGGTTTAATTGCGGGTACAGACAGAGACACATCACATTTTTATTTCTTTTACTAATGAGGTAGCAATCAAACAGCTCTACAGGGTGTTAGGTAAATGGGTATATGAGCTGACACTAGACCATGTTAACATGGTCATATAAATGGTATGGTGAAGTCAGAAAATTGATATCTTCATATTAAATATTTTATTTCTCATACAAATCAGATTTTATAAAATTTATTTTGTATGAAAAATAAAAAACTTAAAATGAAAATATAAATTTTCTGACTTCACCATACCATTTATATGCCCATGTTAACATGAGCTAGAGTCGGCTCATATACCCATTTACCTAACACCCTGTATAGGGGGAGGGTGAAAAGACAAAAGAAGAATAGGCTGACCCTTTCTCTTCATGTTTCTTATTTTTAGAATTGTTTGACTGCAACCTCATTAGTAAAAGAAATTAAAATATGTCATATTATGTCAATGCCCATATAGATAAATATAAAGCATTTGATTGCAAAATAATATTAATTATTTTTATCATCAATTCAGTCAGTAGTTTTATTCATTGATCCTTCGAGCCGGATTAATTGCGGATACAGACATTGACACATCACATTTTTATTTCATTTACTAATGAGGTTGCAATCAAACAGATCTTTAAGCGCAGTTGAATTTTCATGAGCTTGTTCGAACCCGCCTCGCATGAAGTCGCATCAAATATGCGGTCAGGCGTGGTATCAAAGGTTGTTTTTTGTAAAAAAATATAAAGATATGGTCGATATCTCCTTCTCCCTAAATCGTCTTACGTAATAAATGGATGGCCCTAAAATAATATTCCCATTATTTTACCCTTTCTATCCCTTTAGGTTCCTTCTAATGAATCTCCTTTACACCGTGTACGTAAGACTGTTTATTTGTTAAATTATTTTGTAATTTGCGTAGTGTCAACGGACGTGTATAAGTAATGCAAAAGTATCATTCGCGTCCATGTATTGTTTAGGTAGACGAAGATTGGCATTTCACTCGTAGATAACAGTGAGGTATTTATTTGTAGCTTAGAAAATTAAGACAGTAGTTAGATTTAAAATTTTGAGTGACTTCCTTCGCGAATAAAAAATAGTGTTGCATATTATGGTATGTTGTAGTAATTATCTTTCATACGCTGAGAAAGAAAGTCTGTAGTCAATTTAGAGTCTATTCACATAGCTCCGTGACGTCCGATTCGTTGCATTATATGGTGGAGGGTCTTTATTGCATCAGCCGAGTCGCTCTTCTCGCGAACACCACGTAGCTATGTGAATATACCATAACTCGGCGCAGTTCTAACGGTCAGTATAACCAGAGTAAATACAAATGAGTAGGTCATCTTCATAGAAACGCCCGAGCGCGGTTTGTATGTGAGCGCGCCAACACGTATGCGGCGCGCACGCACACACTGACAAAATTTAGCGTGGAGCCAGTCGTGGTTGCGGCGAATTTTGTTGTAGTATGCGCGTCACGCACGCACACACTCACATTCCTTACATAGTATATAAGGTTATACACTCATAATAAACGAGCTCTTAATACGCAGTCAGTCTACTTATTTAATCGTCNAAAAAAAAAAAAAAAAAATTTTTAAAAGTTATGTAGGTACCATTTTAGTTGCATTCTTGTGTGAACTCACTCTTACGAATTGCAATAGAAAATGATTGTGGTTTAACGCTTATGAAATATGCCCATTAGAGCTTCGGAGCGAATCGATTCGCTAACAAGGTGAAATAACTGAACGATACGTTCGACAGAGAATTATTTAGGGTGATCGTTGGCTAACACAAGACGCAGCAAATAGTATCTAAATATGGTTGGCAGAAGCTACATATTTGATCGAGAAGTATCTTTAAGCACTTGACTGCATCTCCATTACTAAGGAAAGCTGGCATTTGAGTGAATCCGCTGACACGTTGGTAGCCAAAAAGGCCCCAAAATAAAAGCGACTACGTCGATGGACTTAAGATGGTCCCAGCGCAAAAAAGTAAACCATGTAAAATAACGTACTTATCTCTTACATTTTAATCAGACATATTATGCAGGTATATTTCGTAATGTGTAATTTTAAACGAAAAGGCGTAGTTCATTAGTTTCATCTAGAATTAAGTTAAACTTTTAAAATGTAACCCACTTCCCTTCAAAATAGAGCTCTTAACAATTTTTTCTACACTTTCATACTAAATCCAACAGAAAAACACGCGCTGTAATATCGTATGACAGCAGCTTAATGACTGTCTCTAATGAATCATCAAGCACGCATCAAGGGAAAATATAACCTCCGATTTCTTAAATAGCCGCGATCGTTCTAAAATAAGTCGATTATTTGATTCCCGAGAAGTCGTTGAAGAAGATTTACTTAATGAATGGCAAAAAAGATGGGATACGTCAGTCAAAGGACGTCACTTATATAAATTCTTCCCGAATGTACGCGAACGTCTAACTAGGCGATGGTTAGAAATCGACCATTGCTCGTCGCAGTTCCTCACGGGACATGGCAACTTTAAACATAAACTTCACGAATTCAAACTAGTTCCGTCTCCTTTTTGCGAGTGTTCCACTGATGATGTCAGTCATGAGCAGTCTGCCCATCATATCTTGTGGGAGTGTGATCTTTGGAAACATGAACGTGATATAATGCTTAATTCAATACAACATACATCTGTTTCCGCAATTTATTACACCGATCTTGTCGCGACAAGGAAAAATTTCCGTGCTTTTAAGCGATTTTGTGAAAAATATTATTGGCAGGTAGTTGCTAATTGCTCATAAGATAGGCCCCCTTAATTTAATTTATTGTCCGTGGTGCATAATCTTTTTCTTAAAGGTTTTAAACCTTTGTTTGTCACCTGTCATCCGCTTTGCAATGGAGG